TCTATAAGTCACTACCGTGATACACTTTTTTTCATTTTATTTTTATATCACACACGTTTGCGTTTATCGCAACGCCTATAATTCCAAAAATAAAAATCAATTCTTTTCAACGAAATATTTCTTTTCAAGTTCACGTGAAAAATAAAAAAGAAAAAGAAAAAAATAAATAAAATAAAATAAAAAGAAATTATAAAGATACACTCGCAAGCACCGACGATTCGAATAGATACATTTGCAAACATTGTCAATGAATTGTTAAAAATTAAACAATAAAATACGTCGTACCTTTTAAAGTTAGGCGTGTCTCTTTCGATGAAAGAAGAAAAACGCGAGTACGCTATTCTCGGGAGAGTTTACTTTCTTAAAATTCCAACCAGGAATGAAGAAGAAGTCTCTCCCTTTTATTTCATCGACGTTGTAACATTGACGTTCTTCTTGCGAAAAACCTACGAAAACTACAACAATGGGGGCTACCATCGCGATTTCATAAAGACGATCCTTTATGCCTTCCTCATGAAAGAACCTTGCGGTCGATTCTTGACAGACAGCTGTCCATCGAAGAGAACTACCACCCGCTGAATTGTTGTGATTCGATGTTTGAACGACAAGAAGTCAGACGGCAAAGAATGAGGCTTAAGAAGTGACCTTTGAAAAGTCAATGCAATTATTAGTGATCATTTCTCCATGGTGAATTTTACAAAAAAACAAACCTAAGTTGTTTTCTGTGCAAAAAAGAAAAAAACGATCGCTGTTATATCGCTAATATCTTTTTATCTAAAATCAATAACCCAAATATATCTAATGAGTTTTACTAAGATTTTCTCGTGTTATTTATTTTTTACTTTCTTCCCCATTAACTTTTAAAAATCTATTTAATTACATACGTATCTATTTGTTTTAACGGTATTAATTTTAATTCGATATAAAGACAAGAATTAGCGAACAATTTGAAATGAAATATGACTGTCCGATATTTAGACAAATTTGAAAAGAGATATATCAGTTGGTAATAATGGAGATTTATCGATTCCGACACAAATTAGCGTGAGAAAACAAATAGATGGATATAATATGTTAAACGGGTAGAAAAATGAAGGGAATCAAAAAAGAACTACAGCGGCGGCAACGGCAACGGCAGCAACAGCAGCTACGAGAACAACTGCAGTTCGGAATGACAATGCAGGTGCCCCATCCCATGTCAAATCTCAGCGTGGCGCCAACACGAGATATGTAGGTACCAGACCGAACTCCGACTGGTTCGTAATTGTTTAAGAGGATTAGTCAGAAACGTTTATCCTTACTACAAGGGAAAAAAAAGATGCTGATATTTATCCCGGCATTAGACTCGACTAAACCTGAATTTATTGCTTCTTATCCCCGAAAATTCTTTTTTAGAAGTGTTCAACCGGCAAATCATACGCCTCATCTCACACGACTCGTGCGACCAGCTTTTTTAAATCGAAAATCTTTTCACAAAGACAATATCACCAATCGGAGATTGTTTTGAATCGGATTTATCTCGCTAAATTTAATTTAACATCAATCAAATTGCGTAGAAAAAGGACAATACTTTTTTCTTAATAAATGGATACCAGTTATCTATTATAAATAATAATCAATAAAAAAATAACAATCAATATCTCTTATATCAAGGGATTTTAAAAGGTATAAATAAATAAATAAATTACATTTTCGAAATATCTACTTGATATTATAATCCTAATCAAACAGATCAAAAGTCCAATCATAGATCAATAGACAGGCCAATCGAATTATAATAAGTAAATAAACAAATAAATAAACAAATAAATAAACAAATAAATAAACAAATAAATAAATAAATAAATAAATAAATAAATTATTTGTAAAAAAGTTCGCATCGATCGTCATGTGGGATCGTAAATTAGTGAAGACCCTAAAAAGATCTGTGGGATTCTAAAATACGCGTGAACGCGTTGAATTAGAGATATCGTACCTTGACGTAGAGTCGATCAAGATGAAGATTCTCCGAGCTGATGTTCGAAACAGGGAGGATGTCGCGGGTGGCCGCAGGTGGCGCCCTCGATATAAGCTTGTCTGACTGAACCGCTGATACGAGAACCGCGCTTCTTAAACTCTCTCATGGTGGAATGTGTCATCCTGTCACTGAACCCACATGGGGTAGGAGACGTCTCGTGGGCCCGTCAAGAGGTGCTCGATCGGTCGAACTTTTACCCGCTCTCCAAGGGAGCAAAGAATGTCAATCGTCCGTATCATTAATTCGAACGTAACATAAATTACCTATATTATGATCGGAATATTTTTATTACGATATATAAATTCTTCATTAAAATCAAAACGTAACGTAACTAACGTTAACTCATACATTCTCATACATTCGATCATAATTTTTATTACCTAGATAAATAATCACTCTATATTATTTCTTGAATAATATTAATTCTAAATAAGTAACTATCTAGAATGTAACAATATATGTAGACACTCTAATCTCGGTCAGAGTACAACGATAGAAAAAGACAAGCTGTTCCATGAAAGTAATAAGAAACGAAATAGACGAATTGTAGTTTACTAATCCAACTATTGGGTATCATCAGTTCATCGTACTTACGAAGAAGTAGTAATTAAATGGTTTACATTGGAAAGAGACAGGACATTGGCAAAAGAAGAAAGACAGGTGAGCCACGTATGCGACGAGATAAATCCTTGGAAAATAAGGAAAAGGGATGAGCACGTTACCCTAAAGAAACGAAGCTAGGAAGACCGGTATAAAGTGTAACGGGGAGGTAGACTTGCCTTTGGACAGACTCTACTCTCTCTCTCTCTCTCTCTCTTTCTCTCTCTCTCTCTTTCTCCCTTTCTCTCCCTGTGGAAGGTGGGTACCGATATATAATATCCGACTACCTAGCTCGGTTCTGCGATAAGTGTCAACTGCAGCGCGGCAGATAAAAAGAATGAACGGAAAATAAAATCCACCGCGGGTGATCCATCATGTGGACGCGAACTTGGGACGCGCAGACTCGTACTTGATTGGTTGGTACCGCCCACGTGGTACCACGTGACCTCTACATAAGCCACGCCCATGATACTAGGTAGCCGCCTGAAGCTAGCCACGTTCTCTGCTCCGAACGTTTCTGTCTTGAACAGGGGGGAAATCCTGGGTGTGAGTGAGAGAAAGAAGAAGGAGAAAACTTGGACACAGCAAAACCCTGTGGGTCAGTCTCACCTGCGTGCAAGCTTCGACCTAGCCAGTCCAGTTGAGCGGGCCTCCTCGTTCACATCGACTCGCGCATAGTTTCACGACATAATTACTAATCGACTCTTATTTATATTATTCCTAATAATACCAATTGAACAAATTCATCATTAAAAGTGTTTTGTGTGACTCTTTCAAAGGAAAATACATATTAATATATTTTTTAACTCGAAAATATGTCTTATTGAATTACAGTGTAACATCAAGGAATCAGAAAAAGTCGTGATATCGATAAAAAAAATGTATTATCCAAAGTGTTTAATCTAATTGAATGAATTTTTCTATATAGAATTGATTACTAAAACTTATTTGACTAACGTGTCTTGTACGATAGCGTGCTTATCGTTTCTGATCTCATATAACTTTATTATGTTGACAACGTACTGACAAAAAAAAAAAAACGTCGCGAAGCTATTGTTTTTATCAGTTTTATCGTGAAAAATTGCTTGGTGGAAAAATATTACGATGTAGTAGTATAGGAGTGATATCGGATGGACTTGGAAAGTGCTTTAAATTTATAATTAATCTTCGGTCACGAAGAAAAAAAGCTACGTTCCATTAATCAGACTCCTTGAAGTGCTCTCTGAGTGTACTAGTTAATAACAATGTAGAGAACATCTTAGTTTTCTTTCCTCAAAAATTTTAGAAACTATTAGTTTCAATCTATGTGAACAGTGAAAAACAACGTGGTGGTGGACTGTGAGTCGTTGATGTATTCGTTTCATCGCCATAAGGATGATGATGATGGACATGGGCATGTACGGGACCTACGGTAAGCCAGATTCATATCCCAACTACGTGTTCGCTGGTCAAGGGAATCATCATCATCAGGCTTCTACCGTCGGTGGACATGTGTCTGTACCACCATCACCCGATCTTGCACCGAGTCATTACTACCCTCAGACTGCAGTGGCTCCTTACTCATCTTCGTCATCCGAAAGTTTCCTGACTGCTGAGTCTGGTGCTTCGTCGAGTACGCCGCCTCAAAGTTTCTACTCGCCGACGGGAGCTGTACTACACGAGGATGGTACTACTACGGCGATCATTTCGTCGGAGAACGGTCTAAGTTATACCAATCTTGATTATGCTTCCTCTTCGACGTACTCAGGTCAACAACAACAACAACAACAACAACAACAACAACAACCACAATCACACGCAGGATCCCATGGTTCGAACGAACCCCATCAAAGTTACCATGTACAGCAAAACACCTACAGAGAAGATCATCATCATCATCATCACCACCACCACCATCATCCACCGAGTCTTCATCAAACTGCTACCTTACAAACCCATCAAAGAACGGAACTTGATTTGCACCAGCCAACCTCTAGTCATCATCATCATCATCATCCTCCTCCTCCTCCTCCTCCTCCTCACCTTCGGCATGAACCCGAATATCAGGTACCAGTCGGTGCAACTCCCAATTACGTTCACCAATACGAAGATTCTCTTCACTATCACGCTCCGATCAGACAGAACGAGTTCCCCGGTCATCCTACAGGACATTACAAAGAAGAGAATCGTGATCCAACCTCTTATCACGCTCTTCCACAGCCAGGACAACATTCTCAACAACAGCAACAACATCCTCATCCGCAACATCCTCATCATCAGCAACACTCTCATCAGCACCAACAACAACAACAACAACAACAACAACAACAACAACAACAGCAGCAAGCCCAAGTACCTACTTACAAATGGATGCAAGTTAAGAGAAATGTTCCTAAGCCCGTCGGTAAGTGTTTCCTTTTATCACCAAGTAAATAATTAATATGAATTCAAAATTAAAACATATTTTGATAATACTACGCTCCAATTGTATCAACCAAAAAAAATATTAATCCATTAAAATATAGTTAATAATCATGCACTGAAATCACTCCTAATTAAACATATTATTATATAAAATATGAAGCTCGGTAAATAATATTTTAATTCGATCATTAAAAACAAAAGATCGATAAACGGGAATAAAGTTACATTTATTTGCAAATAATTTACATACACGAATAATTATAAAATCTGAAAAATGATAAATATGGAAATGTTTAATTAAACGATAGTCGCACAAGTAAAAACGATAAAATTTACTGTCGTATATTTTATTTACGTATCTATCTGCATATGTACACATACATACATATATATATATATATATATATATATATGTATATATATACACACACACATACTTTCTGCTTGATTTTATATAACAATGAATGTAAGTGGATATATCTTACATATATCAATAAAATTTATGGAAGAACGTAACGAGTGATTCCACAAACGTATTACTTGAAACATGTGAAGAATTAATAGATAATTACGAAAAATATTTTTTTTCTATCAAACAAAATATCAATTATGTAAATCGCTAATGTGAAAAGCAAATAGTTCATAGATTTTAATTCAAATTCACTGTATAACAGGAAAAAGAAAAGAAAAATATTTCCAGTAGACTTTCATTGGAATTTTTTTTTACTATTTTTTTCTTCTTCTTGTTTTTCTCTTTTTCTTTTTTTTTTTTTTCAATTACACACACAAAAAGTGTAAGAAAACTTATTTACCTCTTTTTTATTAGCAATCATTATAAAAATTAATTTCAAAAGTTGAACTACATTCGTTTTTCTCAGACTTTGAAATAAGAAATAATATAAGTTATTCATAAATTAACATAATCTTGAAAAAGTTAACATTCTTTTTTACAGTACAAAAATGACATGCCACTTTTTGTTCTTAGAAGTATGTAAGTGTAGTAAGTATGTGTAAATCACGCACGAGATATAATTTATATATATATATATATATATATATATATATATATATATGTACATATATATCTACATTAGATATATATGTACATATATATCTAATAATATCAAAGAGAAAAAAACAACGAAGGCAACGAAACGTATGTACGTCACATTTCACTTGTGTGTCAATCTTAATTGAACTTACCACCCAAATGAAAAGTTCTCTTTAGAATCAGTCGATTAGACTTCGTGTCTACGTCTGCGTATATCGGGTTTATACATGAATTCGTGTAAAGTATCCTCAATGAGACGCGATTAGGTCATGTCGTTACTTAATCGAGGACACGAGTCGAAATCACGCTTCCAAGAACGTAAGGCGTTCTTGAACTTCTAAACACTCTATTATTGCGTCTAATATTATGTTACTTGAAGAACTTGGTAAAAGGAAAAAAGAAACAAAAGAGAAAAAATAAACAAACAAACAAACAAACAAAAAAAAGCAAAGAAATTAGAACGGAGCAAAAATTTTAGAAATAACAATAACACATTTCTTCTAACGTTTACTTAATTCCTATGATAAAAATAAAATAAAAAGAAAAAAGAAATAAAAGAACTTAGAAAAACACATCTATGCATATACCTATAATAAAAAAATATCGATCTAAAAAAATTAAAAACGATATCAAAAAAAAAAAAGAAAAAAAAAAGAAAAAAAAATAAAGAAAAGAAAAAATATCAATGTTCTACAATGTTCTATAATCACTCTATATTATCACGTCTAACAGTTTGACTACCGTTTACGCCTATGGGCGACACTCGTAAACGTAATAGATAAGATTATGCACACGAAACGAGGAACAGAAGATACTCGAGGTTTACGAGAATGTCCTACCCAGTACGATCATAAATCAAGCTTGCAAGCGCCACTCGTTGAGTTTCTATCTCTCATATACAAACGTTTGCTTACGATAGATCTCGATACCTCTCGAAAGATTCAAAGGCGTATATACAAAAAAAAAAAATATATATATATATATGTGTGTGTGTGTGTAAAAGAAACCACTGGTTATAACAGTATATATAAAAAAGTATAAGAGAATTTTTTTTACAATATTCATCACAATTATTTTTTCTTTATATAAAAAGCATAAATATGTGTATCTAACAGTTTTTATCTTCTTTTTTAATTAATAAGAAAATTAATTTTAACTCTTAAATTTTCTTTGTCTCTTATATTTTCACATTTAACAAATTGATCTAAATATATTTTTAAAGATATGTAATTACGATGACGATTTTAATCGCTTACGTATTTAACAGAAAAACTTTACATTTAGATAACTATGTAAGACTAAAATGGATACGATAAGATTTGTCATTAGAAAAGGAATTTGTGAACACAAATTTATCTGATAAAATAATGATCGTTCGGAAAGAAAAAAGAAAAAAAAAAGACTTCGACTGATAACGATAAGGTCATACATACTATTTTCATTCAAGAAGAAAATATTTATTAAATAATTATTAGGACAATCTTTTAACATTTTCTAGATGAAATTAATTTTTATTTCTATAATAAAAATTGTATTTGATACACACACACACACACACATATATATATATATGTACAAGTCTTACATTTTAAGCTTTTACATTACATTATAAGTCATACGTACATATATATATTACAAGTCTTACCACATTACTACATTCAATAACTCTAAAGACGTAGATAATTATTCTATTTCTATATTATTTCGAAATATCTAGATTTAAATGTAAAAAAGTAAACGTCAAAATCTGCATTTAAATATCTAGACCAAAATGAAACAAGCGTTTATCGACATATCTAAATACCAACAAATGATTCGATATTTAGATAGATAATTGAAAAAAAAGAACATATATCAAAAAAATGTGTAATCGTCGTTGCCGACACAAAATAATAACGAGTTATTAAATCTATTTTATATATCACCAATGAGAGAACTCACATACATTAATATTAAGATGTCGGAATTAGAAATTTGACAGAACAAAACCGGTTTAGATTTATAGCCGTCAAATCTTAAACGTACTTTCTCACACTTTTGTCAATTATGTTAAAGACATTTTGCTCGCATTAAGATTGAAATTTTAATTGTTACTTATGACGCACGATTAAAATGCTAGAAGTTGTCAAGGAATATTTTCGATACGACAAAAAAGGAAAAAAAACCTAAAAATTTTCTAGAAACACATATTTCCTTGTAATTTAAACAAATTTCATAACGTTATAGATGAAACATTTCGATGATCGAGAAGTTTTGATAAATTTTTATTCGACGATAAAGTGCAGCACAAAACGCGTAGGAGAAAAAAGAAAGAAAAAAAAGAAAAAAAAAAAAAAAGAGTAAAGGAAATAAAATAAAAGTATGCAACTAAACAATTTTTCTTTAATGTTAATCAAATTTTATAAGATGACAGTCGATGATCGAACGATCTTTAAAATCTTGATTTGATAATAAAATAAAGAACGAGCGTGCAATTCCTTACAAGTATTTTAACATATTTCTTACAACGTTACGACAGTTAGATATCGCAAAGCAGCTGTGAAAACGTCACGTTCGATGTTAAGCAAGAAATGAGACATCTTAAAACACTAGACCGGTTCTCCTAACTTCGGAATTAACTCGCTCGAAAGGTACGGGACGAGAACGTAAATATATATATATATATATATATATACATATATAGCTTAACATGCTTCCTCTCGTAACAGTGAGAGCGTTCTCGTTCAAAGCTTGTTGAATGGGATCTTGTCGGAGTTAGGTACCGGCGTTACGCTTAATAGCTCATTATAATCGAATTAATAACGGCAGCCACGAGAATTGAGAAGGGTGAGACGCGCCGCCAATTGCCGCGGAACATGCAAATCGTAGCCCGATTCTCCCGGCCCTCTCTTTAAAACCCCTAACTTCATCGCTCTATCTTTTCCTCTTTCACGCTATTACCCACTTCATTTCAAATCTTCATGAAATTACTTTCCATAAGATCACTTGACTTTCTCTGATTTATAGGTTATTACATTATCTTAATCATATTTTATTTTTACTATTTACTTTATTATACGATCTTAATGAATAATTCGTAAATAGATCAATCGTATATAATTAGGTATATAGATTTGTATATAGGTATATAGGATGAATCCTCTCATAAAGTATGATCACTTGAAAATTTGCTTAGTCGTTATTAGTTATATGATTCATATTGTCCTATAGAGGCACACGATAAAAAACAGATAGATATAGGTATATAGATTCTAACATCCTATGTGATCTTATAGATCCTAAAATTCTACAAATTCCAATATATAACATAGATCCTAAATGAATGATATTTGCTAATTTAATAATTTCATCGAAATTATGACATATTATTTCTTGTGAAATAAATGAGAAGATCAATAGTGTAAGTAGCAATAATTAATAGAAAAAGAAATGAAGATTATTAGTAATTAGAATGAGAAAGTGGTAGAGATTCGATTGTAATAAGAGGATGGGCGTGGCAGAAAGAAACTCTGGTGGGAAGACTCTGCTAGATTTTGGTTGGTTAACTTTTTTGGTTGGCCGAGATCTCACAATACCTCTCGTTTTCCCCTTCGTGAGTCTAGACCATATCGTACGCCAGGGGGTCCAGAATAGAGAAGACTTCTAGAGGGACGGCCAGAGCTCCATGATGCTCTTCAAGGGCTACTACGAAAGGGGCTGCCTAGGGGATACTTGCGCAGGATTCGAAAAAAAAGAAAAAGAAAAAAAATGGAAAGAGCGTCGCAACGCTGTCAGCCTTTGCGAACCGATCTATCATACTAAACTCGATTTCTTTTCTCGAACGATGCGCTCAATAGCGGGATTGCTAATATCGAGAGAAAGAGAAAATGCCGAGACAAATGAGTAACCGTAGCGTAAAAAAATCTACTTACTTTCCTTCCCAAGAATGA